CACTCCAGGGCCAGGCACACGGAGCCCAGGCTGGAATCCCGCACCTTCATGTTCAGGAAGTTCTCAAACAGGCCCTGCAGGGGGGTGTGGGATCAGGTGGAGCTCACCTGGATGGGGGTCTGAGCCTCCCTCCAGCCCCCCTGGCTGCTCTCACCTGGGCCAGCTTCTCCTGCTCCCCCGAGGAGATGGAGAGGTGCAGGATGTGGTGGAAGCGGTGGGAGGAGGAATTGAAGCCCCCAGGGTGGGACAGGTCCTCGTCCCCCAGCTGGAGCTGGGCTGGCAGAGAGGGGTCCATTCCTATCCTGTGCCTGGGGAAGCCCAAAGGGGAGAGCTCAGGGTTTGGGTTTCCCAGGGCTGGAGGAATACAAAGCACCTGGAATGGTTTTAAACTGAGAGGAAAGGTTTAGAAGGAATATTGGGAAGGAATATTCCCTGGGAGGGTGGGCAGGTCCTGGCACAGGTGCCCAGGGAAGCTGTGGCTGCCCCTGGATCCCTGGCAGTGCCCAAGCCAGGCTGGACAGGGTGTGGAGCACCCTGGGACAGTGGGAGGTGGCACTGGATGTGCCCTGAGGTCCCTTCCAACTCAAACCACTCCAGGATTCTATGATGGACACAAATCCCCTGAAGAAGCTGCTCTCCAGGACCTTGCAGGTCTCCCTTAAACACTTCCATGGATGGGGCAGCCACAGCTTCTCTGGGCAATTGGATCACCACCCCCAAGCACCCAACAATGTAAAAACCCCCTCCTCCTACCTCTGGGGCTTGGGCAGCTGGAAGATCTCCTGCCAGATGGAGAAGAGCCCCTTGTTCTGGTCCTTCAGGCCAATCCTCATGGTCTGCACCATCTGCACACTCAGCTCCTTCTGCCCTCGGCCGTGCAGGAACTGCAGCAGGAGCCAGGGATGGAGGGGATGGGGATCCCAAAGCCCTTGGGAACAGCTGGACACAGCCACCCCCCTCTCCCTCCACGGGTAGGGCTCAAAACACCCCAGGGGACCGGGAGATGCTTCAGGATGTGACTGGAAGGGATTTTTGTCCCCTCTGTCCCTGTATGAGCCTGGAGCTGCAGCAGAAACGTGGGCCAT